CCCTCCCTGGGCAGGTGCACCGCCCCCCGCCGACCACACACACTTCGAGCACCGAGTCCCCTGTCCCGCTCCGGCTCCAAGCCCACACCCGCCAGCAAGTCGCCCGGGACCCTCGTCCCTCCCTGCCGGGACCCAGGCAGTGGGCCTGGTTCTAGTCACTGAGCACGCGGCCTCAGGCGGCCTCCAGCTCCTCTCCACCTCAGATCCCCAGCCTCAGGGCCAGGCGCGGGCCAGTGGGTCCCCCGACCTCTGGGACCGTAAGCACCACCACCCACACTCCCCAGTCGGTGACCGACCTATCCCCTTGACTCTGTTCTCAGACACTGGTGGGACGCTGCCAACTTTCCAGCATCACTTTGGAGAAACACAGAATGTGACAACTACTCTGAATTTATGAACATGACATGCCGCCGCCACTGAGTACACCTAGAGCTAGAGGCCCTAGCCCGGTCTGTTCAGTTCACAGCTCGGTGCTTCTCGCCTGCATAGACCTGGGACGCCAGACAAAACCCTGGGCCACTAATGCTGCAATCACCCGGTGATAGCTGTCCACGGCTGCAGTTCCCAGGAGAGAGATTGCAGGCAAACGACCCTGTGTAACAGGCAGAATTGGTCCCCCGGGGGGGAGGACGGGGATGCTTGGACGCACAAGGCTCAGATGCACATGTCGGACACACACCTGGGATGCACACCTGGGACACACAAGTCAGACGCAAACCTCGTTTGCATACTCTGGATGCACACCTCAGGTGCACACATTGGGCACACACTTTGGATGCACATGTCGGACGCACACCTTGGACACACACCTGGGATGCACACCTTGGATGCATATGTTGTACACACACTTCAGACACACACCTCAGATGTACATGTCGGATGCACACCTCAGATGCACACATTGGACGCACATGTCAGATTCACATCTCCGACACACGTGCCGGATGCACACCTTGGATGCACACATCAGACGCACACCTTGGATACACATGTCAGACACACACCTCGGATGCATACTTTGGATGCATACCTTGGACGCACACCACAGACACACATGTCAGACACACACATTAGATGCACACGTCGGATCCACACATCGGATGCACATCTTGGATGCACACATCAGATGTGCACATTAGACGCACACATCAGACACACACCTTGGATACACACATTGGATGCAAACCTCAGATGCATACTTTGGATGCACAACTCGGACGCACACCGCAGATGCACATGTCAGACACACACCTTGGATGCACATGGCAGATGCACACCTTGGATGCATACGTCAGACACACACCTTGGATGCACACCTTGGACACACACTTTTCTGAAGGACAACACCACCTCCACCTCGATGGCATCCTTCCCCATCTTCCAAGTCCTTTCCTTTCTACTGTTTGGGGCTATTTAGGATTATTAATAAGTCTAATGACTGTCAAGGGGGCAGAGTTAAGCAGCTAGCAATTACCAGCATAATAAAAAGCACGTAGGAAACGCAGAGGTAAAGCAAATTCCATTCTAATAGGTACTATTTTCCTTTCCTAAAAACCTATTTCAATTCTGCATAAATTTCAGTTCTCCTCTTTGTTAGGAAGAAATGTTTTATTGTGTTTGTACCGCCACAAACGTACACGGATTTACACAGATGACCCCTTGAACAATACATGTCTGAACTGGGTCCACTAGTATGTGGATTTTTTCCAATACGATAAATGTGTTTTCTCTTCCTTATGGTTTGTTTTTTTTTTAAGATTTTTATTTATTTATTTATTTATTCGTGAGACATACAGAGAGAGAGAGGCAGAGAGGGAGAAGCAGGCTCCATGCAGGGAGCCCAATGCGGGACTCGATCCCAGGTCTCCAGGATCATGCTCTGGGCTGAAGGCAGGCACCAAACTGCTGAGCCACCCAGGTGTCCCTATGGTTTTCTTAATAACATCTTTTTTGTAGCTTACTTTATTGTAAGAATACAATATGTAATATGTATAACATTAAAAATATACAAGTTCGTCAACTGGTTATGTTATCACTAAGGCTTCCAATCAACAGTAGGCTGTGAAGTCTCTGGAGAGTCCAAACTTATATCAAATTTGTGACTGCACTGGAGGTGGGGACCCCTACCCTCTACATTGTTCAAAGGTCAACCATACACATTTTCCAATTCCCACTAAGGCAAAAAGAGGTAAGACCACGGGGAAAAAAAATTTCATTTCCAAACTATTTTATATTGGGAAAGCAATCTAATTTATAGCCTCAATTACATACCTAAACAAGTAATTTATGCAGATAAAAACCATTGTAAAATTCAAAGATCAAAGAACATAGTATTTAATAAAGCTGGAGAAATTCCAGTGCATTTAAGCAATTTTCAATGTGTCTTAATTGCATATTGAGAAAGAGAACACATGTACTTTTTCTGACAATTAACAAAATATGATTTCATGTCAATAGTTAAAAGTATAAGTAAATCTTCAAAGTACATTCCGTCCTAAAAATAATTAGTTTCTGCTCATAAAAGTACAAAAATCAGCGTTAAAAGAGATTTTTTTTCCCCTCTGCTCTTTCTTAAAAAAAGAACCCAGGATCTTTCCTATTCCCTAGGCATTTGGCATCAAAGAAAATTGAATGTGATAGTCTTCTAGACTTTTCTTCTTTCCAGAAGAATGTTTTTAAAGGAAACACATCTTATGTCAAATAAACAACTTATGCTTTTAAAACTCTCTAATACTTCTACCACAAAACTGACAAGCCAACATTTACTAATTTTGTTTAAATCAGATAAAATCTACAAAGTAAAAATCTCCCTAAATGAATCAGAACTTTAAAAAGCACCCATTTTAACAAATTCTAGTAACTGCTATAAAGTATCACTTACTTTTAAAGAAAAATAAGTATTTAAAAAAAAATCTCTATCCAACATGGAGCTGGGACCCTGCTGAGATAGAGTCACAGGCTCTTCTGACAGGATGCGGTCCTCACTCTGGTGCTGCCATCATCACAGCACATCAAACACAGGAGGGGAAAATCACGTTTGACCTCAAAACAGATTTACACGGTTACTAAATTTAAAGTTTTCTTATCAGAGCACCTGGGTGGCTCGGTGGTTGAGCGTCTGCCTCTGGCTTTGGTCGTGACCCTGGGGTCCTGAGATTGAGTCCTGCATCGGGCTCCCTGCATGGAGCCTGCTTCTCCCTCTGCCTGTGTCTCTGCCTCTCTCTGTGTGTCTTTCATGAATAAATAACCTCTTAAAAAAATAAAAAAATGTTTTCTTATCTATTCCCTCACACAAACTAGGTATGAATAATTCTGGATGACACAAAAACCACCAATTAATAAGAAACACGAGGAACAAATGAACACAGTAAGCAATAGGAGAATCCAATCAGCGAATCCAGACTGTGGGAGACTCAAGAGGTCAAACACCCTGGTTACTTCAGTAAAAGTTACAAGGGGAAGAGAGAGAGGAATAGGAATCTATAAATGAAAAGAGATCAAGACAAACATCAAAACAATCACAAAACATAACCTTATTTGGACTTAAAACCATAAAATCTTTAAAAAAAAAAACCACAAGAAAACAAAACTACAACAATTGGGAAGAATGTTTAAGAATGTTAATAACATTAGGGCATTTATAACATTATGTATTTGAAGAGAGAGAATCCCTATCTTTAAAGAATACATTCTGAATTATACACAGACGAAATGCTATGCTATCTGGAATTTGCTTCAAAATGATCCTGGGTTTGGGATTTCAGGAGAAGGAATACAGAGAAAAAGAGTGAATTTTGAGTTGATAATTACTGGTGCTGTATAATGGCTGCAGGCGGGTCACTATTATCCTGCTTTTGTACATGCTTGAAATGGTCTATATTTCAAATAAAAATTTTTACTGTGAACCGAATGTAAAGACATCCTATGGGGAAAATTATGCTTTGCAGAAAGAAAGCTGAGGAAAAACACACCAAAATATTCAGGAGTACTGGACTCTGTATTGTGCAATCATGGAACTGCTTGTCTGCCCTTAAAAAAATATTCTGTAAAAAGCACATGTATAATAGAAAGCATTTAAAAAAATATGAATAGCAAATGGCTTCCAATGCCTCTCCTTTTTAAGACAATGTAAGTAAAACTGATGAGTGATGAAGAATCCAATTTAAGGAGTAATGGAAATTACTGATGGTTCTACTGAATTTTTAAATTTATGCATACTAAAAAGGAAGGTCAGGAAACAAGCTTCCCTGAAATGTGGCAACACCTACATAAATTGATATTCAACTGATACTGTAACACTGGCCAGATTTTATCAAGATACGTGTCATGATAAATGTTCTGAAATGCCCTCATTGCACTGTTCTAGGAAGGAATTAAACACTCCAGAAATGCCTTTCATCTGAAAACCGAATTGTAATGATTAACAAACATGAACTAGGAATCGAAATCATTATTTCCACTGATTAATCAAAATACGATGGCTTTACTATAATCATGGTTATATATTTTATAATAGGTTGCTCGTACGACTGGATGCAGTTATGTCCCCAAACTCTAAGGATGAAAAACAGTGTTCCTCAATTAATATTTACTCGCATTTGGCGAGTAAAAACGCTTATGTTAGGTACTGGGAATAAAAACATGAAGGGAAATTAAGCTATTTTCTCTGTGAACGATAGACAAGACCCAGGAGGAGGGAAGAAATGCGCACCTCTGCGCTCTCACATGTGAAATACATTGGGAGGACGGTCAACTGCACTTCCACAGCAGGAAGTGAGTTAAAATATAAGTCGTTAAGTCGAACTAAAGGATACTATTTAGAAATATGTGCCATATGAGATGCGTGACAAGTGAAAAGTCTGAAGTGGGAAAGACTGGGCCGAAGCACTGTTATTTTTTGCTATGAGCTCTGCATTATTGTTGTTTTCGAACCACGTGCCCGGTTTATTACCTGGATAAGCACATTACAAAAAGCAACAGAGCAACAGAAAAGGTCTCACCAATAGTCATAGCTCTCATCCCAGTTGTCAAAATGTACCAGGAAACGATTGTCCACCATATCTGTTACCGTAGCAACACAGATGAACGCAGGATTCTTTTTGTCTACAGCTTCAAGCTTCATTCCAACTCGAAAGCCTGATGGGATCACTGTCTACGAAACATACAGATTTAATTAGAGATAAGCACACACTTAACAGCAAGCTCTGCACCCTCTCTACACCTCCTGGTAGAGATGAGGGCCTGGCATCCATCAGCGGCATTCACATTATTTAAAGAGCATGGATGAGTTTTACAGCAGGGTCGCTTTCCAACGAGCAGCAATAAGGAAAAAAAAAAAAAAGGAACTAAACTCCCGAGGAACTATCTGCATCTGCAAACCTGGACCTCAAGACCGAAAACACCCAGAGCCTCACAGAGTTCGACTGATTTCCGGATGTGCTTTGGCACCATGGTTAGACAACTATCCGAGGTGGGCAAGTTTAATCCGCCGCACAGCCCACTTTTTGTTTTTCTCGCCCTTGATGGCAGACTGAACAATGAAAATTATTTCAGGCAAAATATGCACTTAATCAAGTTAAAAATGTGAATGAGTCAGTACAAGTTCACTCCCATTTCTGGAAAACTCTCTCTAAAGAGCGCTCCACTGAAAGTAGGTCATCTTCAGACACGAAAAGCCTGCAGATTATTGCAACGTTGACCTACCACGACAGATACTATTCACCAAAGCACCAAAAGAAATGGCAAAATACAGGGAGCCATTCAAAATAGTTTCTAATTACAAAAAAAAAAAAAATGTTTGTAATATAAGGAAAGCCAAACACTATCGGCCATCCGGGACATGCGCCCAAGACCACAGCTCAGGAAGCTGTAGTGCTTTGAGGTGCCGTAAGATGTAAACGTGCCTTCGCATCTTGTGTGAGGAAAAGCATCCTAACCTGGAGGAATGTCCTGGGAAACCAGTCACGCCCATCAACACACAAGCCATTTCTGCACTTCTTTAAAAAAAAAAAAAAATCCTCTATCCAGACTTAAGAATACAGAATACCATTCTTTTTTTCTTTTCAGAATACCATTCTAATTACTTTAAGCAAAGCACATGCTATAGTCCATTCTACCGTAATTATTCAGTCACCACCACAGAAACGTAGACAGCCGCGTACCTAAAAGCGTCAGCGCACGTCCTATAGGAACAGCAGGGGCCGGCGTGAACACCACACAGACACCCTGACGATACGTGGCAGTCCCCAAAATTATTTACCAGGGTCCTGACCACAAATATTTGAATATTCTGTGGTAGAAGGCTCTAGAAATGGATGAACTTACTTGCTTCTTGGCTATCAGACACGTAGGCCCAGATTAAGTCATGTGCTAGCTAGCAATGCACAGAATTTAGGATGACGGTTCAGAGCAGTTAATCAAATCCCTGATCGAACTTATCCTCCAGAGAACCAGACAGGGATTAGGAATCTTGGAGCAGGCCGCTGAATTTTCCACCCAACGGATCGCCCTCCCGGGTCTTGAGAGAGAACACCCACTGACGGCGTAGTATTCACATTTCGGTAATTAAGCTCTCCTCTCAATTAAGAGATTTTGAAATAATGATCCGGCTCATGAGCCCTACGAGTCACCCGAACACCACACACCCCACTCTTGGGTTCTCTGATTCAACCTGGCTTACGATCCATTTGACCTGAGATGCTGAGCCATCAGACCAACGCTCAAAACATGGTCTGGTGTAGACCATCTCCCAAATGGAAGGTACCTGGAGTGGCTGAGAAAGCTCCTGCCCGTTCCTGATATTCACTTCCACAGGAGGGAATCCCATTCTCGAAATATTATTGTCTATCTCTACATTCTCACTCATCGTTACTGGACTCAGGGACCCTGGAAGGAGAACTGGTTACGCTCTTTGAAGAGGAAGCTGGCCGACAGGGTACACAGTCCGTGCTCTGCTCCTCCGGGGCCTGCGGGGCTGTAGGGCTGCCCCAGTCCAGGTTCGGTGATGGGGCAGAAGGGCTTCCTGAGTCCTCGGTCTCACAATCAAGAAGCTCATTTGTCGGGGCGCCCGGGTGGCTCAGCGGTTTAGCATCTGCCTTCGGCCCAGGGCGTGACCCCAGGGTCCCAGGATCAATTCCCACATCGAGCTCACTGCATGGAGCCTGCTTCTCCCTCTGCCTGTGTCTCTGCTACTCTCTCTCATGAATAAATAAATAAAATCTTAAAAAAAAAAAAAGCTCACTGTCAACAGATAAGAGGCCATACATGTCACTCCAACTGAGGCCTTATCTGTCGTAAAGATGGTATTTTGGCTTTCCACCTGCTGCGCTCTGTTGATTTCAGTTAGATCAGAAGGTGAACCAGGAAGAAGAGGGAGACGTGTTGGGCCTATGCAGAGAAGCAACAGGAAACACGCAGGGAAAGTGGGGATACAAGTCGAAGGAGTGGGAAATGCATACACAGCCAGACGCTGCCTTGTTACGCGGCAAGTGCAGTCGCAGGCTGGCGTGAGGTAGATGGTCATCCCTAACATGCAAACCCAAGCTGGGCTCCGCACATCTCACTGCATGACTCCCATGTGATCAGCCCTCTAAACAAGTGGCGCTAACAATAAACTATCCCCGTCAATTTAATTTTTTATGTACTTTTTACGGTAGGTTGCAGGAGGGTTTCATACGACATTGCCTTGTGCCGTTCCATTAAACCCAATAACCATGGTTTGCCTGTGGAATATTCATTCGTGATGATTTTAAGCTAGCTTTAAAGGCTTAATTAAGAATCTTCTATTTATCAAACCAATAGAATTTACGATGGTCTCCTGCTATCACTTTTATCCTCTGAAACACTCAAAAGTTACTTCTTTGGAAAGGAAAAATTTTGGATGTACTTACTATATTCTGATTTTCAAATAATGACTTGGGAGCAGCTTGAGCTTTGCATGTCTTAAGATAGGTCTGCCAATTAAATTCTTCTTCCTTATAACCTTGGATAAGCACATATAGACAGACTCAGTAAAATGTCAAAATATTTCACACGTCATTTTCCACGCCCACTTTTAGCTATGACTCCAACATGCTGAAATCAAACAATCGATTTTTTTAAACAAACTTTAACTCATAGTTCATAACTATGGATTTTTTTTCTGCACGTTAACTCATAGTTCATAACTATGGATTCTTTTTTTCTACACAGGCTGCATTTATTTCCAACAAATTGCATGATTTTTCAATTCTGAATGAATACGACGGATCTAAAGAAAAGATAAGAGGAAGTAAATATCTGTTATACTCAGGTCTGCTTCTTCCTATTACCATACTATTTCTATGAGTTTTAGGCCAAACTATTCAGCAGTACACTAGTGAGCTGGGGAGCCAAAACCTTTGTTTTCCCTTCATATGTTCTATTCTGGGAGACTGACTTGTAGGAACAAGTGGGAAGCTGGAGAAAACAGCAATAAAACAGATAAAATCTCTTTAGCCTGTCACCGTAAGAATGACAATGGAAGATTTATGAAGCAAGCACGTTGGCAAATTACAATAATGGAAACGTCCTTGCTTTAATGCTCACAATTTCACATTTAGTGTTGTTGAAGCCAACATTTCCTTTAAAAAGGAAATTGAGCGTCTTGTCCTATCTGAGAGCTCCTGGGCTCTCTCCTACTTCCATCGAGGTCCAGAAGGCAGCATGAAAAGAACATCTAATAATTCGCCATATCTAAGAGGTCAACTTATATAGAGGCTGGTAGATTTTCTTTTTCAGGGAGCCCGGGGGGTTCTGTGGTTGAGTGCCTGCCTTCAGCCCAAGGCGTGACCCCAGGGTCCTGGGATCGAGTCCTGCGTCGGGCTCCCTGCATGGAGCCTGCTTCTCCCTCTGCCTGTGTCTCTGCCCCTCTCTCTCTCTCTGTCTCTCGTGAATAAATGAATAAAATCTTTAAAATATATATATTTTTTCTTTGTCACCCTCATTTTTTTCTATGTGATTTTATTTAATCCTTCAGCCATCTGAAGATACCATTCCGCCTTTAATTTTTCACGTAAAACCAAATGGCTAGTCCATTAAAAAAAACAAGAGCCCTGAGACAGGCCAAAAATATCAAAGTAGTCACCTGGATCTTTGACATCAAGTCAACAATACTGACTGTAACAGTTGAAAAGGAAAGAAATAAGATATTGTTAAACACATTAGGGATGAACTGGAAAAGATGGTTATCAGTTATTCTCTGATCTTTATGTAAACACAAAGCCGGAGGAATCACTGGCAGGCTGTGCTATCGAGGACTCAGAACGAAAAAGTAATTGCCATCAACTCAACCTCCACCTAAACCAGCTCTTTTTTTTTTTTTTTAATTTTAGTTATTTATTCATGACAGAGAAAGAGAGGCAGAGAACAGGCAGAGGGAGAAGCAGGCCCCATGCAGGGATTCCGATGTGGGACTCGATCCCGGGTCTCCAGGATCACGCCCTGGGCTGAAGGTGGTGCTAAACCGCTGGGCCACCCAGGCTGCCCCTAAACCAGCTCTTAATGCTATATTCTCCTTTCCGATCTCCTAAATATTAAAATTCATGCATTCAAGTGCATGGTTTCTCAAGATTTTCTATGTAATGAAATATCAGTAAATAAACTTCGTTGTATAAATGGTTTAGATCTAAACCTTCCAATCTGTTTTTCCAGGGTATATACATCTGAGCCCGTACAACACGGGGTTCGCGCGGCACAGGTCCACTTAAACATTTCTTCTCTTCCTTGTGATTTTAATGACATTTCCTTTGCTCCAGCTTATCTCATTGTGGGATAATAGTATATAATTTATGTAACCCACAAAACACGTGCTCATTGACTATTTATGTTACCAGTAAGGCTCCTGGTCAACAGCAGGCTATGAATAATTAAGTTTTTAGCAAGTCGAAAAGCACATGTGGATTTTTGACCGTGCTGGGAGACGGCGCTCCTCACCCCTGCGTTGTTCGGGGTCAGCTCTGGGTGTGGAGGTGAAAGAAATCTGTGGCTGAAATTTGTAGTTAAAATCAAATAAAGATCCAATGTTATTTTACGTACAAATAAATACATGGATATGGTTTATTCTCTCAAATAGAATTTTACGTTTTACATTCCTTTCCTTTAACGAGCATATTTTTCTTCATAAAGAATAAGCTTGAATGTGGACCTGTCTGGACCATAATAAAGTCTGAATTCTTAAAAATTCCAAATCACCACATAGGGAAAGACGTTTTTACAGAATTTAAAATACGAAACAAAAAAAGCAGACAATACCTTTCGGCGGATGGAGCTTATGGCCGGTTTTCTCACACCAGCCGACTGGGTGAATGTCCAGAGCGTCTGCATTTACCCAGAAGTCGTAGCAGTCAGAGTATCCATCAAAGTGCAATTTTATCCGGTAGCCACAAACCTGAAACAGGTAAAGCGAGATGACGGACTCAAAAGCAAAAATCCGAAGTATCTAGAATGTCCGTGCGCAGAATGGATTCACAAAATAAAATGGAATTCATTAATGTAAGTGCAAAAATAACCACGAACACCCAGTGTGGTGCAGCCTGTGGTGATCAAGGCACTGTGATTAACGGCAACAGAAAAGCGAGTGAACCAAATGACACAACCCAAAGGCAACGGCGATGCGTGGAGAAGTGCTGCGCGGCGCTCTGCACCCTTCCCAGTGGCAGCAGGAGCCCCCGGCGCCGGGGCAAGCATGGCCCCCGACGTGAGTCCTCCCCATCCTGCGGCTGCACGAGTGGGGGTACACGGAGCGCCGGCCCCGCCAGGACATGCCGCCCCCTCCTCCGTGCAGCTCCTCAGACAGGGACATGGGACACAGGACACAGCGCGCACAGGACGCCAACGTCCCCCGTCTGCCGAGAGCGGGCTTGGGAGAGGGAAATGGCCGCCTTGGTCCACACAGAGCCGGGGCAGGTCCCTGGAGCACCTGGGGACCCGCCTCGTAGCGCCCACCGGGGCCGAGGCCATGCACCTGCCGAGAGCGCTCCCCCCGGGAAGCTCTGAGCCGAGGGGTGCATGGGGTCAGAGGCCTGGGCTCCCTGCCTCGGGCTCCCAGGGACAGCTGCGGCCCTGGTCCCCCTGCAGCCAGCATGGGAAGCCCACAACTCGTCACCCTGCACACCCCAGGGGCACCCGCCCTGTAGAAGCCGGGCGGCAGCCGGGCCGGCAGCCGGGCCATGAGCCCCGAGCCCGGCGGTGGACGCCCCCCGGAGACCCCGGCAGCTGTGACCCACCACCACGGTACGTCCTCTGAAACCCATGGTTGACCTGCAAGCAGCACAACTATGGGGTGAGTCCATTTATGACTAATATTACGTGTCCAAGCGTCCGTGTGACCCATGCGGGCATCACAGTCGCACTGACGGGGTGCGATGTGCCCGTGAGCACGTGCATGATTCCCCCTTGGAAGCCACGGCATTTTACGCGCATCTGCTGCCCGAGGACAGCAAGGCACCATCGTCTAGGGCAGTTTTGAGGTGGAGTTCCATGGGAAATCCTTTTTTTGTTTTGTTTTAATTTAAATTAAATTTGCCAACGTAAGCAGGTGTATTCATACACATGTGCGCACACACTTACACAAATGTAAATTCGCAGTGAACGATGGCCCGGGAACCCACGCGGAAACCCTAACCAGGATCCCTGGCGGGCGGCGGGGTGCACTGGGCACAGCACGTGCCGAGGTCGCATTTCCCCCGTGAGCACATCATGATGGGTGCCGCGTGGAGGCCAACGGAGCCCTCGGGAGACCGAGGCCAAGCAGGGGGGGTGCCTGGGAAGGGGACTGTGGGCCGCCCCCAGCGCACCTCTACCTGCATTGAGCCCCCAGGGCCTCACAGGCGGAGCTCAGCAGGGAGCCCAGGGAGAGGCGGCCAAAGGGGCCTATTCCCTGGCTGCCCTCGCATCCCTCCTAGAGCTCACACCCGACGAAGCCCTGGTATCCCGGCCACCGGCCTCGCCTCGCCTGCCCTGCTCTGGGGACAGTCACTGACGGGAGGGACAACACACGGTTAGCCCTCATTGTGCATGACTCCCTGCTTGCAAACCCACCCACTTGATGGAATTACTTGGTGCCCAAGAAGAGGACTGGTGGTGTTTGGGAAGGGAGGCAGGTACCGAGGGCGGAAGACGGAGCGGCCCATGTGTGCGTCCCACGTGTGCGTCCCAGCCGAGGTGGAGGACGAGAGGTGGAGGACAGCAACACTCCGCCTTCCTGTGGCCCATCTCCTCCCACGAGCCACCTGTCCTTCGCACGGTCTCCTTACGGCTACATTTCTCATGCTTGTGCTGTCGGTGATCTTGCTAATTAACATGATCTCCAAGCAGGGCGCTGTAGCACTGGGTGCTAGGGAGCTGGAGCATGGGGAGCTGGAGCCCTGGGTATTAGGATGCTGGAGCACAGAGAGCTGGAGCCCTGGGTGCTAGGGAGCTGGAGCATGGGGAGCTGGAGCCCTGGGTGCTAGGGAGCTGGAGCACGGGGAGCTGGAGCCCTGGGTGTTAGGGTGCTGGGGCACTGGAGCACTGGACCATGGGGTGCTGGAGCACTGGGTGTTAGGGTGCTGGAGTATGGGGTGCTGGAGCACAGGGAGCTGGAGTACGAGGTGCTGGAGCATGGGGAGCTGGAGCACGGGGTGATAGGGTGCTAGAGCACAGGGAGCTGGAGCATGGGACATTGGAGCACAGGGTGCTGGAGCATGGGGCACTGGAGCATGGGGAGCTAGCTGGAGCATAGGGTGATATGGTGCTGGAGCACAGGGTGTTAGGGTACTGGAGCACAGGAAACTGGACCAGGCGGCAGACAGAACTGAGCCCGAGCTCCCGGGAGCCTAGCCCGGTCCGTCCATCCGTAGAGCTAAGGTCAGGATCTGCTGTTCACAGGACACCACGGCGGCGCAGGGTGAGCACGAGAGCCTGTAGGGGCTCCTCCCACCCTGCAGCAATCCTTCCAGAAGGCCCTGCCTGCTTCCGCTTCCCACTCCTGCCTTCACAACAGCCTCCAAGCCTCCTCCCTCTCTTTCGGCTGCCAGCCCCGCACCTCTGTCCTCACTCTCGGGGAATTACCTTCTGCAGCCACATAGCTCCCTGAACATCTGCCCCGACGGGCCCCCATCCTCCCCCCCAACCTGCTGGCGGCCAAGAGAACACCTGCCTGCTCACACCCCAGATCCCATCTTCCCCCAGCCCTCCATGTCCGTTATCTGCTCTCTGAGCCTTCCACTCCCTAGCTGCTTTCTCAGACACCATTCTCCAGTCTCTTCCCATTGCAAAAAGAAAAAAAAAAAAAAAAAAAAAGAACAGAAAGAAAGAGAGAGAAAAGGTGGGAAAAAAGAGAGGGAAGTAAAGGAAAAGTAAATAAAGACCATCTCCCAGGCTTAGGCAAGCAAATGCCCCCTTACCCTTGGTAAGAACAGAACAACTGGTGAACTTTCTGGCAACGAGTAGCAGCATGCATCAAAAATTTAAATTTTACTCATGCTCGCAAGGGCACTGTTTGTAATAATGAGAATGACGAGAAAGCGAAGACCGCTCAACTGTTCATCAATATGAGACAAAGTACAAGAATTACAGCAAATTTGTAAAATGGAACACTAGCCAATGCTTAAAAATATGCACATAAAATATAAGATATACTCTCATCAAAGCTCCATAAATTGTGTATTATTCCATCTACATATAAAAAGGAGTTGAGTGAGAGCACAAGCTGGAGGAAAGGCAGAGGGAGAGGGAGAGGGAGAAGAGACTCTAACGTATACTCTTATACAGGTTGAGGTTTTCATGGTGAGCAAACATTACTGTTACAATAAAAAAAAACTAGACGAACTAAAATCTTCAAAACCAAGAGGTGGAAAAAAAAAAAAAACCCAAGAGGTGGAACACACCAGACACTTCCACGTTCCATGGGAGCCAAGCTTCTTATGGACTAAGTCACTGAAAGATGACCAGGGTAACTGAAACTAGTGCACAAGGGATCATCTTATGCTTCTGGGGGGAATTTTTAAAGATTTTTTTATTTATTTTGTTTTAGAGAAAGAGACAGAGCAGGGGACGGGGCAGAGGGAGAGGGAGACTCTCAAGCGGACCCCACCCTGAGTGCAGAGCCTGATGCAAGTCTTGATCCCATTTGTAAAAGACACGGATCCCTGACTCCAGAGAGGGAGGAAGGCGGAGGCCAGCACAGGAGGAAAAAAAAAAAAAGAATTCTAAGAAATGCTCTCAATAACAAACGAAACTAAGATACACATATGAATAGACTTGGACAATTTTTCCTGAAATATTTCACAGAGGTACCTTGAAATACTAAAAAAAAATGTACAAGTATATGTTGGTCTGTTTTTTTCTATTAAGGAGCCCCACAGCATGACCAAAGCTATGGAGTCGGAAGGACCTGGGGTTCAAATCCAGTTTCGACCACTTGGGAGCTGTGTGACCTTGTACTCATCACTTAAGCTCTCTGAGCCTCAGCTCCTTTATCTATAGAACAGGAAGGAAAAAGCACGGCCTGCGTAGGATTCCTACAAAGATTCAATGCGCTGACGTACCAACAGTAGGTATGATGCCTGGTATGAGGTAAGCACTTCAACCAATGGGACCTTTTCCCGTTGTTAACACCCCATCATCATCACCCTGTTGCAAGGATAAAGACAAGGCAAAGCTTACCTCAGCCACGGTGAGGACACAGTATACAGACTGATGCTCTGGATCCACACCTTCCAATTTCATGCCAACTTTAAACCCATTTTTGTTATACGGAAAGGACTGATACTGAAAGGCAGAAGGACGGCAGTGTTAGTATTTGATCCTGAGGCCCAGTTACAATGTGAGCAATTAAGTAAAGACTATGAGTCTTAAGTAAAGACTAACCGAATACACGCATAATCCTTAAAAATCCAAAAGAAAAGGACCACCAGGTAATCCAACGGAAAATGAACAAAGACTATGAGCGGGTTACAGAAAAGGAAATGCCTTTACACATCTGAAAAGATGCTCAAGCTCACCCATGGGAGTCATCCGACGTAAAATCATGCTAACACGTTATTTCACCTAATCAGGCTCATAAAGATCAAAAAGTCTGATCAACACAGTGTGGGCAAGGCTCTGGGGGCCCCCGGGACACACGTTCATCACGAGCAGATGGCACAGCCTCTAGCGACCTCGCAACATCAGTACAAACAGCGCATCCTGGTTTTTGTTTTGTTTTGCTTTTCATTTTGAGAATATCAACCGTATGTGGTTGTCAACTGAAATACAATTTTCTTCCTTAAAACACAAAAACATTATAGACGATGGTTTAAAAGTCACATCGATCTTTACGAATAAATGCAAGAGTCCAAAGAAGTCTGGCTCGAGACAGACCCGCAGTGATGTCCAAGCTGCTCGTTTATCTGTTACGCTATTGTTAACGGCGGTTCAGTGTCGCCCTCAAAGCAGGGAACGATGCTCTGGGTGAGTTGGTGGGATGTTAGCAGGTGTGCACTGAGGTCTTTCTCCAAATCTATCTAATAATTCTGTGGCTTTCTTATAGATGCCCCATCACCTTACATATAAAAGAGCCTTCGCAGAGTTAAAGTAAATACCCAGAAGACCTCAAGTTTTTAATTCAAGACGATGAGGCAGGTGGAGTGGAGGGGGCAAGCTTGAGAGCAGGGAGCAGATGCAGACATCAGGACGGCGAAGCACAGGGTCTTGATTATGGCTGAGGGGCACCCATGCCGGGGGAACAAGATGAACCGGAATTCCAGGCGATGGGAAATCCATCCTGTTTGTCTCCGTAATTCTACTTCTAGGACATTATCCAACACAGGTGCCCACATCGTGTGCAAGACGACAGGCCTCCCGGGTCACTCGCCAGAACACTTGTGTGTGTGTGTGTGTGTGTGTGTGTGTGTTGTACATGTGTCACATATGAACACACACCTGTCAGCCTATAGGGAGCAGCTTCACTTGTTACGGAAGAGACCAAAGATGTGTCATGAATTAATACAAAAGGACGATGAAGGGAACCGTGTACTGAGATGGAATCATTTCCAAACTAAGCTTAAAAAAAATAATAAAAAATAAAAAAAATTTAAAAAGCGAAGTGTGTGTGACCTGTTACCCTCTGGCTGAAGTCGGGTAGGACAGGATCTGTGAACGTCTAGGCTTATCTGCACGTACGGGTTTCCAGGAGGAGAACTGGTGACAGTAGGCACTTACTACTGGGAGAGGCGAATGTGGAATGTGGGGGTGGGGGGGTTCTGAGGGACATCCCTCCCGTTCTTCTGGTCCCTCTACGGTGTGAACTACATGCCTGTGTCATGGATTTGAGGAATTTGCTGTATTTAAACTGTTCTTTAAGGCAAAAAAAAAGAAAAAAAAAAGTCTGTTCTACCAAGGATCAAAGTTGCAGAAAATAATTATATAGAAGAAGTTCGTATGTAATGACAATTACGTTTAAATTAAATATCCGTAACGTGGATGTAACCATCACAACATTCACTATGCGTCGTTTTCTTAGACTGCCTATGCAAATGCATATACAGCAAGGTAAGATACACATATGAATACACTTGGACAATTTTTCCTGAAATATTTCACAGAGGTACCTTGAAATACAAATATCTGTACATTTAATCATGGTTACACCCCACGATTAAATATGATTAAATAATCTAAAACAAGGTCCAGCTGACTACACCCAATGGGTCAAACGCAGCCCACAACCTGTTTTAGAACTAAAGGTTGACCAGAATATAGCCACGGCCCCCCATTACACCTGGTCTGCGGCTGCTCTCATCACAGTAACAGAGCTAGAGCTGCGTCCTTGCAACCGAGACCAGATGCCCCACGACGTCTGAACTACACGCCATCTGGTCCTGGTACAGAAGCAGCTTACTGACCCCAGGCCCAGCCCAGGGGTGGCCCTTGGTCCCTGTACTCGTACCTGATGTTAAGTCACTCGTGACAACGTGTTTTCATCACAGTTAATGTAATACCATGGCTTGCTTTTAGATTTTTGGCGTGAGATCATATAAAGCTCAGTAATTCATTTTTCATTTCTCCCAAAGCCACAATGTGGACGTGAAATTTCATGCCAGTTTTTCTTTATCTATGAGCTTCTCGGCAGTAGTGGAGCCACTGCTCTTAAAGTTAACGAGTGAAAGAAAGCCCAGTAAACGTGGAAAGAGCATGTGTGTCTCGGTGGCGTGTGCCCACGCGGGCGGCACCGGGCGATGGTGAGCACGCGTCCGCGTCAGCCGCCCTTGGACGTACCCCCACGTAGACACACTCATGGAGAACAGTATGTCTGAGAAATCATCCCAAGTCACAGTTCCTAAACCAACAATGGAGACGGCAATGCTAATTCCACATCAGATTTCCAGAACCTTCGCCCCGAGGGACAACGCTTTCCAGAAGGGCCCGTACCTCCTTGAAGAGCTTCGCTGGCACAGCCACGGCTTTCTCCTCCTCCAGGTAGGATGCCCAGCACCAGGCTTTCTTTCCTTTCGGAGGCACACCTGAAAAGCAAGTGAGACTAATAGAACCGGGTTCCCAAACCTCAGAGGTCATACGTGCATCCACCGGAGTCTCCTTTCCCTAACTACAACTATGCCGGGCTCCTCTTGTCCTTCCTGGCTGGGACTGCTCAGTCTCTTCCTGGCCTCTCTTCTAAGGAAGCAAAAGCTAAGGCGTAAGCTATGGTGTATGACCAGGTATGATGGGAGAAGAGAGCAGCAGCAGAATGTTGACTAAATGAAGGAGACAATGCGGGAAACAAGATAGGACAGGGCCATGCAACAAGATGATCAAAAATGCTTCTTGAGGGCGCCTGGGTGTCTCAGTCAGTGAAGCACCTGCCTTGGGCTCAGGTCATGACCTGGGGTCCTGGGATCCAGCCCCATGTCGGGCTCCCTGCTCAGGGGGGAGCCTGCCCCTCCCCCTCCTTGTGCTCTCTGTCAAATAAATAAACAAAATCTTAAAAATATATATATAAGACAAAACAAGAAAACAAAACATGTTTCCTGAGACCAAGCAGCGGAGGACTAAGAAGAGGCCACTGTCTCAGGTGCCGAGGGAACGGCTGCTAATTTGCAGGGCGGAATGGGTGCTCAATTTAGCAGGGGCCAGATTTCGAGCAGAAAAAGAACATATAAGTGATAAAGACATGCAGTCAGCCAGGATCGATTTTATTTTGGGTTAATTTAACAAACAACAGACATGAAAGGAAGAGCGTAACAGCTTGATGGGCGAAATGAGGGGAATGGGATTTGAACAGGCTAAGATGGAGCTCCGGAAGAGAAGAATGCTGAATATCCATGGGGGGCGGAGAAATAAACGACAGAAGGAACAAGGCCCCAGAAGAGCCGGGCCCTGAAGGTGGACGAGCGGAAGGGAGAGGACGGTCAGGACCTCCGTGAGGCCCTGGGCAGAGGGAGGGACTCGCCCCTGTTGTCTCTGTGATGTCAAACAGGAGGTCACCCCACCCCCAACCAAGGGCAGGACAGGGAGGCCGTGTGCCCGAGGCAGGTAGGAAGAGCTGAAGCTCTCTCTGAGGAGAACCTGAGAGACGAGTAAGCAAGGAACGCGCCCCTGCAGGGAGGAGGCGCACGGGCTCCACGGCCTCGTTTGCAGGGATAACACGACGGGACGGGTCAGCAGGGCAGCCGCATGGCAGACACCTAACGTGAGGGATTGGCAGGCACATGGGACGGGTCAGAACGGCGAGACAAAACCCAGCGGAGGACACCGAGGCCTCTCTGGAGGAGACCCGAGGGCCCCGATCAACAAGGAGGGAAGGTCATCCAGGCAAGTATCAAAGGCAAGGGTCTGAGGACTGGACTCGTCAGGAAAATAAAGTGTTGCCTGAGGAACAATGAAGGAAACAAAAAAGGTTCCATGTCAAGGGGTTGTGGTTTGAGAGGAAACATTAAAAACATAGAATCATAGGAAATGAACAAAGCTTCTAGTGAATGTGCAAAAGTAGAAAAAAAAAAACCTACTTGATGGAAAAATATAGGCAGATGTCTTCCTGTTTGCGCCAACACTACTCAGAAGTTACTGATTTCCATTGTTTTCCTTGTCTACTTCTTTGAAACCCTGATTTTTACTGACAGAATTTAATGAAAGAAAACCCCAAAATAATGCCTTAGCCACCCTAGCGTACGTTGCAATTAAGACAAAAACGTCTACCCGCGTGAGGTATTTTCCACTTCACAAAGTCACAAGTAAAGCCTTTCCTTCATCAACTCACCCTGCTTCAGTACAGCCGAGTCACCCCGTCTTTTCCTTCGGGCTCTCTGTGAACCCCTCAGGATCCTCCCGTCTTGTTTGTTCTCCTACAGCAAGAAAGGAAAATTATGGAATTTAAAGGCTCACGAAACTGGCATCAATGAAAAGTTGGAGAGCTGTCAGAAAGCGTTATTATTTTTTGTACCTTTCTTCAATTTCACTCCATAACTTTTAACGAAAGAATACAGGTCATTTGAGAACTGTGTTGCTTTTGGCCTAAGCTCATTACAAAACAAGAACGTCTCCAAGAATCACACTCTGCAACAGCACAGATACTGCTCCTGCCTTCTTGAAACACTTTCCTCCTAGGGCCCCTTGACCACTTTTTCGGATTCTCCCCACACGCCACCGGCCTCGTTTCTCCGTCCCTTGGCTGCTGTCTCCCCCAGCCTAGTTCCTTTCTCCTCTCTGCTGAATCCCTCCTCTTGGGTTTTAAACATCATCCGTCGCCCAAATATCCCCAGTCCGTGGCCCCTGACCTCCTCCTGACTCACACTCACACACCCGACTGCCCACCTGGGATCTCCACGTAGGTACCTGATGAGCATCTCAAACTGATGATGCCAAAGGACGCCACATTCTGTGCTCCGGTCGTGCCTCCCCATCCTCAATAAATGGCATCCATATCCAGTCAACTGTTCAAGTCCAAACGCAAGTTACCCTGGATTCTTCTCTCTCCCGTGCGCACCCTGATGACCCTGCCTCTAACATCGACTCTGAATCCAGGGACGTCTACCCTACAGAGCCCTCTTTCCTAGTCTGCTGCAATCACCCGTGGGCTTCCCTGACCACATTCTCGCTCTCACACGCCAACAATACAATCGGACCACTGCATTCCCTTGCCTTCAACTTTCCAGGGGCTTCCTGTCACCACAAAACAGCATGAAACCCCGCTGCCCTGGTTTCTCACAAAGCCTTCCATGGCCTGGACCTCTTACTCCACCCTCCCTCAACCTGTAAGGCTCAACTAGATCGTCTTTATTTCCACAAACAAAACATGTCACATGTGTTCTGACCTTAGGGACACGACGCTAGCCATCCCCTTGCCCAGGGGGGCTCCTCAGTCCTAGTTTTACAAAGCTGATTCCTTCTTCTTACCCAGATCACACTGTTCATGCCACCTTCTCCGGGAAGCCTCCCTGACGCGTCCACGTAAAGAAGTCAGCCAGTCCTCACGCCCTACAGTACTTCTCAGCACAGCACTTACCACAGGCTGCCTCATCTCCTATTTATTCTAAGTCCCCTGAGAGGGGAGACCCTGTTGTCCTGCTGCCATACATCCCTGTGTCTGGCTCCTGGGAGAGAGACCAGTGAATAACTGGCTGCTCAACACTGATCTGAAGGGAAACGCTCCAAGACCTCCAAGTTCCCATTTCATATGGGACCATTAACACATAGTTTAGGGATAAGATATTTACATTTCAACTGGCACACTGTGGATTAGTTTCCCCTAATGTACCCGACGTTTATCTGCCATCGTCTACCTACTCTCATAGTCCTCGGAGATCCGTCTGCAATCTACCAAAATGGGACTCACATTTTGGCATCGAGAGGAGCCAAAGATTCATCTGCAAAGCTGAAGATTTTGCTCTTATTACCCCTCCCCCTCTCTCTCCAGTGACAAATTTCAGCACACCTGACTTCTTCAGGTTAAGGGAAGGCTGCTATTATTTATTATTCTCATTTTGAAATGGGGACAGTGACACCGAGACACAGAGTCACGGAACCAGCACTGGACGTCAGGTAGCTGGCTGCAGGGCCAGTGCCTCTGACCAGGGTGCCACTCTCTTGAGAAGCACCCCTCTGCTCTTTGGTGGGTGCACAGGAGATACTAACCATCTCATCATCTCTGTCTTCTCCATCCTCCTTGGAGTCGGCTTTCAGAGATAATTTTGGTTTCTTCTTCCGACTACACTTAGGATCTTCTTCCTCGTTGTCTTCTCCTATGTCCCTTTCTTCCTTCTGATCTCTGTTGTGTTTATAAAACCAAAATAGTGACAGGAAACAATACCTATCAAACATCTACATGTTGATCATCTCACAAATCAAAAAAAAAAAAAAATCATCCTCCAAAGGAAAAACACTAACCACCAGCAGAAGCATGTAGGCATTAAATAGCACAGCGAAGGAACAGCTGAAACCACCGTCTCATATGACACTTCCAAGTAGAAAATGGAAATTAGCTTATGTATTAATTTCAAAAGGGGATCAGCATTATATGTGAAACAGGCTCTAACAAGTTTAAAACGTTTTGCCTTTCACATCTGCCATCCATACTAATAAAAGAATCAATTATTTAGAGACGTTTTGGTCTTCAGAGAGACTTTAAGGCAAAGATCTAGTAATTATTAAGAATGACAAGTGCGACTGACAAAGACCAAGTGTAACTTTGTAAAATAAACGTTGGCCAACAAAAACAGACAATTTCCAGGCCTATGCTGGTTACTTATTTGTGGTCCACAATTATATGAAAAAATACACCACATGATTAGCTGAACTTTGTCAGCCAGTCCCCAAATGGCCTAGTCACACGGTACCGTCAGCCAGAGCCGACGCTGCTGTCCCATAATCCACCTTGTGCCCTGAGGTCTGAGGTGGTGCAACTCATTACACAACTCCCTAGGCCATCTTCATTCAGCTGCTTCCCAATTTGTGGTGGCTTTGTTTCATTTGTGGAGTTTGGGCTGAGTTACCTAAGAACCCCCCAAGGACAAACAAAACTGTTTTTCCATAAACATCAGTATCATTAAAATGTAGGTAGCTCAGAGAAATTCATGGAGGGAGTGCTGGATGGACTCAAAGGCTAAAGAAAAGAGGCAGGGGGTATAGCTGCAGGCAGGACTTTGGCAGTACAACTCAGAGTGGATGTGACTGAAGCCCGTAGGTCCGGTAATGGGGTCAGGGTCCACGCACCTCTGAGATGAAAAAGGGGCATGAATGGGTGACAGCTATCAGAGAGCCTCTGTATTCTCAAGACCATGACCTTGGACTCTGAAACCCATTTTGTAGATGGAACAGGGCAAAAACCTACTTGTCTTTGATATGTCGGGCACAATTCTGGCTGCAATAGTTTCCTCCAGAAAGACACTCATCTACGTTGCCATACTGACAACAGTTCTCACAGAATTGAAGCCCTTCTACTTTCACTGGATCTTTCAACCTGAAAGGCATCCCGGTCTTCTCTGAAAAGACTAGAAGATGAAAAGGAGAAAACAAAACAAAATAAAAGAATTAGAATCGTGACAGAAAACATTCCAAAATACACTTAATCTTTTTCTTCTAATAATCTTGTTGTTAGCGACACAATAAGAGAATAATGTTTGTTGAATGAATGATTACCAATCTACAGTGCTTGGAGGGAGAAGGAAAGGGGCGGGGGCAGGAACTGCTCAAATCATTTACATAAGAAAAAATATACCGTAGAAAAGATAAAAAGTTCACCCAAGGCTTTTTCTACAGAATTCAAAGTAAAATAAAGAAAACTTCATTACTAAATCCAGAAGATGAAACTGTCAACCTACAGAATCCTATTTTATAGATGAATCTTTGACAAAATTTAAGAAGGATCATCTATGCTATTCACCTTTTGATGAGTGGCTGTGTTCTCCTAAATTGGTTAAATCATCATCTATGTGGCTTTTCAGGTGGGAGATCTTCTAAATCGTAATTATCCAAACCATTTAGGAACTCAGACTTCCTTTTGCCTGAATTGTAAGGCTAATCATTCATTCAGCAAACATTTATTAGGCACCAATTTATGCTAGACACTGATAATGACAGTACAGACCTTGCCCAAGAGAGCTCACAGTCTAGAAGAGAAGACAGGCAAGAAAGCCAGTATTTATAATAAAATGTGATACATGCAATTAAAGCATGAACAAGTTCCAGAAGTAGTAAAGAGGGAGAAGTGATTCACTCAGCCTGGCTTGAGGTCAGGATAGGATTTTCTGATACAAAGCCTCAAGTGGGTTTTGAAGGCCTGGAGGAATTTACCAACTGGACAAAGACAGAAATGGCTTCCCAGCCAGAAAAAACAGTATGAGCAAAGGCAAGGGAGCATGACACCACATGACGTGTTGAGAGAATTACGTGGAACTCAGTGCTGCTGGCACTGCCAGCACACGGGGTATAGAGAGCAGAACAGAGAGCGAAGAGACAAAGCAGGCAGGGGGAGGGGGGAGTGGCACGCCCCCCGGGTCTCTGTATGTTCAGCTACAGAGACCGTAAGAAATCAGTGAAGTGTCAGAGAAGTGATCTACCAAAGTTCCTCTGATTTCAAGGTGTGGGATTAGAAGCAGAGTGATTCTCTAGGTGGAGTCTGCAACAGTTGAGGTGAGAGCTGGTCGGGGGCTACATGAAGGCAGTGGCAGTGATTATTAGTAGGAAAAGCCAGATCTGAGACATATTTAGAAATAAAAACCAAGAGGACTGAGTAATATAGGCCATGGGACGGGGGGGAGAACAAACTCAGGATGACTCCTAGGTTTCTTGCTTGTCCACTGGGTGGTGGATGGTGCTACCACCAACTGAAGTATGGGTTACAGAAGAAAGAGCAGGTTTGGGGGAAGGGGAGAAAGAAATAGAAAATGAATCGCATTTCAGACATGTGGAGTTTGAGGTACCTGTGGGACATCCAGGTGGAGATGTCCAGTAGGCAGGTGGAAATACGGGCCTGGCACTCGGGGGAGAGGTCGGGGCTGGAGATATAGATTTAGGAGTCATCAGCATATAGGTGTTAGTTACAACCATCGGAGTAGATGAGAAAAAAAAGTGGCAGGCGTTTGGCTAAATCACCTGGGCAGGCTATTACGACACTGGCTCTACTTGGTAATTTCCAATTAACCTTGCGCTAGTACAGGTCTGGCATTAGGAAAGAAGACAGTTTACGGTTACTTTAAAATACAAAAGTTGGTTCCATATGAGTCTTGTCATAGAAATTTACCTAAGAACACGGGACATGAAAATCACCCCTGATTTTCAAAGCTCCAGCCTATTACAAAACCCAGATATTCTTACTGCATAGCACTCAGGAGGAGGAACTGGCCCCGCCGACTACCCGTTCTTACCTTCCTGAGCCGTCGGTACCATCCAGGTTGTGGTAGCTGTTGCTTTTTTAACATTCTCCATCTCGCTCTCATCCGTGATGACCTCCAGGGCTCCGAACTCGTTGACCCGAAACTAGCGACAAGGGAGACAGGCAGTTAAGCAAAGCGCGGGGTTGCCCTACAAGTCCGCGGAGGCGATCGCGTCCAGGGGAGGCCTCGGCGGACACCAGGTCCTTCGAGTCTACTGACATGGGGATGGGGGTGGGAGGATGTGGATAGGGGGAGCCGGAACAGAGCGTGCAGAGTGCTGCCCGGGAGCCGCGGTCTTGGCACCGCTGCAGGCCCGCCACTTGCTCGCTCATCTCCAACACCAGCTGCTGCGGTGACTGGTTTTCTTCCTTGGTGTTCCTACCGGCTTAGCCATCAAAATTAGTAAAAGAGGAATGACTGTTTTCCCAGGAATCAACTTTTCTCCCCCAAGGTCACCTAGTCCTAGAGAAGGAAATCCCTCTTCCAGAAATAACGACCGGCACTCGCGTCCCTGCCTCCCCGAGACGCAGGCCGGGCGGGCTGAAGGCCGAGCTACGGGCCCGAGCACCCCTTTCTCCCACCACCCTTAGAACCTCCATCCTGTCCCCTCCACTCCGCCACAACAGGAGCTGAGATCTGAGCAAACCCGTAGGCCACGGCCCAGTTCTATCACCAAAAGTTACAGACATTCTGATTCCAGGGACACTCTGACCCCAAATACTAAAAATTTCCTCTCACCTCAAGACAAGCCTCAAACCAATCACGTTTCTGCAACAGCCTAGCTGTAGTGTGCACGTGTTGAAGGCTTAACCATCACCCATGTGCAGGGACCACCCCTCCCAGCCTTGCAGAGGCAACTAGGTTCACTCTCCTACTGATGAAGTCCAGAATCTCGCATATTCTTCTGTCTTTCCATAAAACAGAATGGCATTGAGGATCCACGCGTTTCGACAGCGATGTGAAAAACCGGAAAGCTCGAAATTCAAAAGATCGTAAAACTTTTCGCTTAAAGTTTCTAGATCTTTTGCAGAAATCTATGTGAGCGTGCACGTATGTAAACTTAGGACCTTCCATTTTCCAGTCTAAAATATCTGCTTAGTCAATATGCCAAAAAAATAATTCATTTAATCACTCACATTGTGCGTGTATGTCGGAAAAAGCTGAAGCGAAAATTACTATTTTTTCCACCAGGAAAACACAGCACCTTAAAAAATGTTATGCACATACTCAACAATGATTAAAAGCTTTTTGACCTGACAAAGCTGAAACGCTTTAAGAAAAGTGACAATGTTTCCTACTACATACTTCAGATACGAGTTCCTAGGTAACACGTGCATACTACACCTAGTGTGCACACCCAAAAATGTCAGTCTAGGAAGTGGCAAAAAGGTAATTGAAAGGAATAGAGCTAAAGGTAACTCTTCTCTTTGGGAAAAAAAATAAATAAATAAAGTTTACCATGATCCACTCTGAAAAGGGAATATTTCAACCTAAAGCTGACAGTACCATCTACTGGGCAAGGGTAGAAAAAACAAGCCATAACAATTACTAATTAATGATATTAAAAAAACAAGACAGAAAATCAATTCTGCATGAAAGTTCAACAAAACGATAGGCATGAACTGTGCTCTCCAGTCCAGGTGAGTGATTTTCCTTTTATTATACGCTGATGTTGATTTATACACCTCTTTGAAAAATACAAAATGTGAGAAACACCACGGTTTGCATTCGACTGGGAGTGTCCTGGGTGGAAGCCTCCAAACCTGTGAGGCAGCCTGCACTCCCGACACCCCGGGAGCGCGCCCCTGAGTGGATCCTTAAGTAACAGTTCAGAGTTATGACCCTTGGAAGCTTTAGGCTCAACTACTCTCAAGTTAAAAAGGTAATATTCCGGCAATAAACAACCAATCCCAGTTATCTTTTCCTTCTAATATTTACTGCCATTAACTGACCCACAGCCAAGGCATGAAGTAAAGCTGTCACGACAATGAGGGACACAACTAGGGCCTGCAAGCCAGGGATCCGCAGTTGGGACTTCGGGGGAATCCGTGAATCCCGTGAAATACCTGCAAAATTATGTCACGGGCACATATATATTTCTCTGGGGGTGGGGTTGGTATATGGGGTTTTCATCATATCCCGAAAAGCATCCTATAACCCTGAAAAGGTAAAGAACATCTAGTCTCACCAAAGTGACTTTACCTCCAGAATCAACCTCAAAGTATTTTCAAAGTACCCTACCATATGCAAAAAGACATAGGGATCAATTTTATTTCTTTTCCCTGGCGTCTCAATTGGGATTTATCGTCTTCCACAATGTCACTACTGTAGGAACACTGGATAACACAGGTGCCGCCCGCGTCACTGGAGCTCCACAGACGGAATTCAAGGAAGACTGACCGATACATTCCCTGACATTTTTTTTTCACCCAATAAAACACTTAGGTTTTGAAACAGGGAACACTTTTATGAACGGTTTTAGAGCCACAGAAACTTGAATTACTCCGCCTTATTTCTTTTTTTCGAAGTTACCAGTTCTTTTAACTCAGACATCTAAAAAGCCGCATAAAAATTTGTCGAGTGGCTCCGATCCATGACAGAGAACATCGGGAATTATGAACTACACAGAAGAGACTTAGTAAAGCACATGAAACACATCAGCTGCCTCTGTGACCTGCCCTGTTGGGGAGGGGCAATCCAACAACAATCGGGCCTGGAACATGCGAGGGGTGGCAGAGGTCTCGCTCGTCTGGCTTAGCTGGAACTACCTTCAGTTGATTCCATCCTCCTCTTCACTTCTGCTCGCGGAGGCCAAGGATCGCGCGCCGATTTCTGCCCCCATTTAATCACAGATCATTCGGAGACGCTGCTGAGGTCACTAGCTTTGTTTTATTCATTTCAACGTTGACATGTGAGTGCTACTCACCAGTCTAAGAGCAAAGACACCTGGTAACTAAACGTCCTGGAGCCTCAATCACAAGGCAACGCTGTACACCAAGAACGCTGTGAATGTTCCAATTGAGTTTCTGCGCTGCTGTTGTAGTGTCTTGCTCTCAGCTAAGCGGCAACTATTGTTTTTTTTATTTAAATTCAACAAATTAACATATAGGCTATTACCAGTTTCAGAGGCAGCTTCAGAGGCAGCGTCCAGTGACTCATGAGTCTTAAGTGACACCCGGAGCTCATCGCATCCCGTGCCCTCCTTCATACCCGTCATCCAGTGGCCCCGTCCCCCCCCGCCCCGCCTCCCCTCCAGTGACCCTCACTCATTGTCTCCTATGAGTCTCTCATGTTTGTCTCCCTCTCTGATTCTGTCTTGTTTTTCCCTCCCTTCCCCTAGGACCCTCCGTTTTGTCCCTCACGTTCCTCCTATGAGCGAGGTCGTAGGAGAACAGGCTTCCTCTGCTGACTTGGTTCCTCGGCGTAACAGTGGCAACTCTTCTCACTGGACGAGATGCTGTTGCTCTCGGGAGCGCACGCGTGTTTTGCTGCAGATGCCAAATGGCTAAATCCTCGTGACCTAGAGGAACGATTCTGCGTGGGTCAGTCTCAGACATCACTTGGAAGTTCAGAGCGAGGGACGCGGGGGGCAGGGAGTCCCCCGCGCCCTCCCGCCACCAGGAGGCTGGCCCGAGAAACGAATCTACCGGTACCAGCTTGTGCCATTTTCCCGAGTGGTGGGCAGTGTGGCGTCTGCGAAGCCAGTCAGAGCAGGTGTCCTGCCAATGAGGCCAGACGCCATCCCCGCCGCCGTTAAGATGTCTCCTCTGCAGCCCGTGGCCAACGGAGAACGGATTCCCGCACCAGGAAGGCCCAGCCTTAGCCAGTTCTGCCAATACCTTGACCTTGAGCAAACGACGGAGCCGCCCTGGGCCTCGGTGTCCCCCTCCATGAAGCAACAACAGCGAGAGGAAAGACCTCCAAGGGATTCAACGAAAAGACGCAGATGGAGTGGAGTCAGTGGTACGTGTCCACAGTCGGTGTGTCCAGTGAGGGCCCTGGGGACCCAGCGACACGGCGCAGTGTACACGGGCCAAGGCCCAATGCCGCGACTGGGGCGGCAGGAACCACAGAGGGGCCATGGCCAGGTGGCCGGGGTGGCCGGCAGGCCTGAGGCTTTTACGCAGCAACATCCTCTCAAATCGGCAGTGAGCTAAGCACCTAGAAGGTGTCCCCATGTCGGCCAGGGACCCCCGGGCGGGCACCCATCGTGCGGCCTGTCCAGGACAGCACCCCACTTGCTGGGGACCCACACGCCGCCACCTCGGAGAGACACAAGCTTCAGTGACGTACAATGGCCAAGGCACCATGTGAGGGACTAGACCTGTTTTGTTCGAAGTTCTTTCTTGACATCTTGGTTTTGGGGAAGATCAATTTCTCAATCAGAACCTCTTAAGCAACTCAGTAGTATCAGGAGCAAGTGACTTAGAAATCCTAAGCCTCACAATCAAATGGCTCACCCCTGAATCTCTGCAGATAAAAATGGTTATAAAGTAGAAAAAAAATTTATTTATTTATTTATTTATTTATTTATTTATTTATTTATTTATGGAAGTGGGCTTTCAAACTGTCTACAGTACATACAGTGAATTGGATGCATGGCAATTACCCAGGTAATTAGATGAGCCTAAAAGTCAAATAAAATAGACTAGATTATAATACCCACTAAGTGCCTTAATTGCCTGATTACCTTAATAAAAGTAATAGGTTAATTCTTAAAATCCATTGCTTAGAAAACCTTCAGGCAATTTAAATTTCTTAGGGATGGAGAGTTCAAAATCTAACTGAACAAAAGACAAAAGTTATAAATTTCATCATCTACCTTCTCACACACACACATACACACACATACACAAATACACAAAACAATTGAGAAGGGACAGAAATATACAAGGAAAATACAAGAATAAAGCATTTTTAAAAAGGCAGCTTACATAATATATCACAAAGCCAGAAAAGATACAATTTGTTAAGTGCTTTCCATATGTTATTTTTTTCGATCGTTATAACCACCTTGTGACATAAATCCTATTTCCTCATTTTATGGATAAAGATTCTGAAACTTAGGAAATTTAAATTTAAATAACTTGACAAAGCTCATGCAGCTACTATGAGGCTGACATTAGGAGCGTCTGGAACAGTTTTGCTTTCTCACAAATTTCAGCACTCGATTCCCATCGTATCTAATCCAGATGAACATTTGGAGAACGTTAGAGCTGATAAAAATCCTTAGTATTCATTTAATTCCTTATTTTACCAAAGAGGAAACTGGCCCAGAGAGACTAACGGACTTGTCCAAGGTCATACAGAACTAAAACCCGTATCTCCTTTCCAGATTGCACTGAACCTCTCTGCAACATTTTTTGTTAAGCCAGACTCATAAATAGATATGTTGGCACAGTGTAGTTAATTCAATGTAACCCAACTGAAATCTAAGTATTTTCCCCGTGACAGGTTGTCCAAGTCTCACCACCGAGGATGAACTAGACTGGGCTTGATGGAGATGCTCGTGACGTAGCCACTAAAAGGAACTGGACTGGGCAGCCCGGGGGGCTCAGCGGTTTAGCACCACCTTCAGCCCAGGGCATGGTCCTGGAGACCCGGGATCGAGTCCCGCGTCGGGCTCCCTGCATGGAGCCTGCTTCTCCCTCTGCTTGTGTCTCTGCCTCTCTCTTTCTCTGTGTCTCTCATGAATAAATAAATAAAAAATCTTAAAAAAATTTTTAATGAAATTCAAATAAAATAAAATAAAATAAAATAATAAAATAAAATAAAATAAAATAAAATAAAATAAAATAAAAAGATAAAAGGTACTGGATTCCAGGCAGCCAGTGTGAGGGGGCAGGACTTGCTAGTCAAGATAGGCCAGAGCACTGAGAGCTACAGAGGAAAGCCAAGTGACAGGCAGCTCGGGTGATTCCAAGTTCAAACACCTGAGTGACCAAGGACAGACACAAAGTCTGAAAGGCCACAGACAGGTTCAAGGTCCCCCAGATAGGATCAGAGCAAAAACAAATTAGAAATGAGAGGTGGGGGTGATTGGCTTCCCCGATGAGCGCCTGCATAACTAGGTTTTATAGGGCAGCGGATGTGGTCTTGGGGTGGGCTTACGGGAGGCCTGGGGAAGGGAGTTGGGTGATCACGCAGTAAAGGAGCTCGAAGCAGCGTTCTCTGGAGAAGAGTTCTCATCTATATAGAAGCAACCTGGTTTACAGGAAGGACCAGCTTTCGAGCAAGTGATTACATAAAAAATCCATATTTACAGTATAAATAATTTAAGGGAGGAGAATAGCCCTGTCTATTCAATATTTTAACATTATCCAGTTTTTAAACAAGAAAACTAGGGCACAGGGAATGTGGTTATTCATTAAAGTTATCAAGTTCACTACTACAACACCCAGGAAGCAGGGCCTTCTAAGCCTGCCGCCTCCGTGCTGATTGTCCATCATGACAAAGTCAAACCTGGGTGATCCTCTGGAAGCTGTAACTCAGCTCCTGTGGCGTAAGCACACGCTGCCACCCCAAGTGGCGAAGGCTTCTGCCAACCTGCCAGCATTTCGAATTGTCTTGAAAATTTACTGTAGCAGAGATCTCAGCATCGTAGAAACCCAGCGCGTTATGCTTGATGCTTTTACTTCTCGTTTCACATGTGCAGTCAAACTTATTTTAACAAACACACACAGTTGCACACACAGACGGAGCTGTACTGAATAAAGACCTCTTACCTTTAAGTCACTTCCTGGTAATGTGCCTACTCCATCTTTCCAGTCCATAACACTGAAGACGTCAAACTCCTGGCCACTTGCGCTAGACGCAGATTCAGTCATGGTTTATTTTTGAAACTGGAAGGGGAAAGAAGGCTGATCATGTAATATTCTACATACAGATCGGTTTTTATTCTAGTGGCCGTGGCCTCAGTTTCCCCTAACCACATAATTTTCTTTATCACAATACCCCATTATCCATAGATCTAAAAATAAGTGCTTCAAAAATATCATTCTTCTCTAGTGCAATCCCTGGTAAATTACAGAAGAAAAAATATTACTAAAATGTATAAGCTAAAGAGTGTCAATTTTTCTATTCTTAAAAACGAATTCACTGTTTCACAATATAGTCACTTAAAAACTCATGAATTTCTTGGGGGCGTCTGGGAGGCTCAGTCAGTTAAGCATCTGCCTTTGGCTCAGGTCATGATCCCGGGGTCCTGGGACCCAGCCTGTATCGGGCTCCCTGCTTCTCCCTCTCCCTCTGCCACACCCCTCACTTATGCTTTCTAGCTCTAGCTGTCAAATAAATAAAATCTCTAAAATAATAAATAAATAGGGCAGCCCCAGTGGCGCAGCAGTTTAGCGCCGCCTGCAGCCCAGGGCATGATCCTGAAGACTGGGATCAAGTCCCGCATCGGGTTCCCTGCACGGAGCCTGCTTCTCCCTCTGCCTGTGTCTCTGCCTCTCTCTCTCTCTTTGTGTCTCTATGAATAAATGAAATAAAATCTTTAAAAATAAATAAATAAATAAATAAACAAATAAAATAATAAATAAATAAAATAGAATTTCTTGCCTATTAAGTAGTTTGTTGTTATTGCTGCTTTAAGATATTGAAAAGAGAAGGGGTATAGATAAAGCACAGGATTAATATTAAATGTTAATAAAATAAAACCATTCAGATAATAAAAAAAAAAGAACAAGAAAATTCCAGTCCATTAGGACTGTCATCTACAGTAACTTTGTCAATTAGGTTTGTTATATCAATTCAATGAATTCACAGTGTGATTGATTCTTTCAGTAAACTGATTTAATTCAGTTGAGATACCTGCCAATTTGATGTTCTGAAAAGTAAGGAAGTAGTCTTAAAATATACAGCAAATACTAAGGCTACGTTAAGATAACCAAGTCAGCCACCTAAATTGTGATAATGCTTTTTATTTGCATTTTTTTAATTGCAAAATGGTTTTCCATGATCACATTGTTAGCAGTCACATTGATGTTGTCATTCTGAGACTATTGTCTATGTGGCATGGGATTAAAAAAAAGTAAGTCATTACGCTGATGTCATTGATAAGCAATGCAAGATGGATAAGTCCTAAATTTGATTGAAAGTATCAGTATGAATTCATAATGCACTGTAATCTTTAAAAATTATGCATGTTTTCTAGCTTTGCCCACTGACAAAATCTGGAAATAGCCACCGGTCAACAGGAATGAGTAGCTAAGTGCTCGGACTGTGGTCTCTAAATACCATTTTTCTGAGGTCTTCTCAGAGAAGGGGCTGATTTCTGTTCGGTGACAGGAGATGTACAAGAGGAGTCTGGAATATCTTGTCAACCAAAAGCAAGGAAGCTATCAAAGACAATGGAGGTCATATCAAAAGGTCTTAGAGGCCAACTAACAAGAGCAGAAGAGGCTCCTGCTGGCCAAACCAAGGATAGGATTCCTGCAATGAACTGAAACACATCAAATAAGTTTAAATCCGGGAGTTCATACTGATATTGAAAACAAACCAAGTTGGAAGCCCAGGTGGCTCAGTGGTTTAGCGCTGCCTTCAGCCCAGGGTGTGATCCTGGAGACCCCGGGATCGAGTCCCACATCGGGCTCCCTGCATGGAGCCTGCTTCTCCCTCTGCCTCTCTCTCTCTCTCTCTCTCTCTCTCTCTCTCTCTCTCTGTCTCTCATGAATAAATAAAATATTTAAAAAAGAAAATAAAAAAGAAAACAAACCAAGTGATCAGCTTTTGGGATAAGACAACTCATTACCTGGAAAAATAAACAAGGATTTACCCTGCCCCCATATTCCAGGAGACCCATGTGAACCGTATCTCAGGGGAACCAGATCATTCACTGGTGAGAGAAGTGTCAAGTTAGAGAGTTCCTGCTAATAAATAACGAAGGAAAGACAGAATCATTTTGAGTCCTCAATCTATTCATGGCTTTGGCAATGGCCACCACTGACCACTACGAATAGAAACCCAACACCACCTATGAAGTAGTCTTGCCGAGAAAAAAACAAAATCATGCCCAGTCGGATCAAATCTATTTACAGGAAATACCGGAAACAAAGGGCCATGTGAAATCACACCATAAAAATACATAAGTAGTAAAATTCAGATCGTCAGAAACTCGTTAGCAACATTTCTCACAGACCCTGGGAGGACTTGAGGCCCTTTCAAAAGACCCAAGGAGTCAAAACTATCTTCATAAATAGCATCTGCCTTCTTCCCTACGCTGACCTCTGTTCTCATGGTACAAAAGCAATAGTGGTTTTGTGGAACTCTTGGGGGGGGGGGGCACCCCACAGCAGGGGGCATCATTGCATCCTTTACCACCACGTACGTATGGGAAACGAATGCCCATTTCACTACAGATCATCCCTTGATGAAGCAGAAGAACTTTCATTAAGTCTTGATATTTGAATACATCTTTTTAATATTCTGTGTGATGAAACGGGAAGCACACATAAAGCCTCGGGTGTGTCAAATCACCAAGGAAGAGCACCTGTGAACCTTGTGCGACGCAAGCTGAACAAGCAGCTTTTTCCATGGAATGCCATTTCTTTAACAAACTGTGTTCACTCAGGTTTGGATACTGGGCAAATACTTTGTCAAAGATAAATGAAGTGAGCCTGTCAACGTCAAGGAAAACACTGACAGCGTTTGTTGCTGAAGATACAGTTTGAGCATTCAAGGGAAAAACCATGATTTGGGAAAACGTGTATCTACTACCATGAGCTTGACAGCTTCCCAGTAGCTAAATACTCTTCTAAGGAGATGGGTGGTGATATTCATGAATAAGATTTTTAAAATATTTTATACTTGACATATGTCAACATTTGGCAGATTTGCATAACTCAGTGAAGCAGTATTTTCCAAATAACCATGCTTGATGTCACTAAATTATGCAGGGAAAGGATCCACTCAAAGTGCATGACAGACCAATGGATTTTTAATTTAACAGAGTATAAAGAATTCATTGTCAGAGTTTTAAATTGCCCAACTTACCTTTAACAAACTACCACTTGTCAACTTTTGGTGTAGTATCACAGCAGAATGTCCACCATTCATGAGAAAGCTTAAAATACTCCTCCCCGTTTCCAACCCCACATCTGTGCAAAGCAGATTTTCTTCCTACACTTCGACCAAAACAACATATTGCGACAGACTGAATGCAGAAGCAGATATGAAAATCCAGTCATCTTCCATTAAGCCAGACATTAAAGAGATTTACAAAAATGGAAAACAGTGCCCCCTCTCTCATTTTTCCATTTTGGAAACTATGATTATGTTTCATTAAAAATATGCAGACATATATTAATATGATGGGTTTGCTGCCATTTTAAAAAAAATTCATTTAAATTCAATTTGCCAACATACAGTCTAACACCCAGTGCTCATCCCATCAAGTGCCCCCCTCAGTGCCCGTCACCCACTCTATCCCCCCCATCCACTTCCCCTCCAGCAACCCTTTGTTCATTTCCCAGAGTCAGGAGTCTCTCATAGTTTGTCTTTCTCTCTAATTTTTCCCACTCAGTTCCCCTCCTTTCCCCTATCATCCCTGTCACTATTTCTTATATTCTCCATAGGAGTGAAACCATATGATGACTGTCCTTCTCCAATTGACTTACTTCACTCAGTATCACAGCCTCCAGTTCCATCCACATCGATGTAAATGGTGACGGCTGCCATTATTTTTAAGTAACTAGTTTAAATCATCTACTCTGATTTTGAATATAGGCAATATTAATAGATACAACGCATACAAACAATAGCTCTTCGGGGTTTTCAAGAATTCTTGAGAGTGTCAAAGAGACTTGAGGGCCTCTGCTGTGTAGGATAAGAACTTGGCTTTCTGCCACGTGGACACATACACACACACAAAGCAAGGAGTAAAAAAAAAAATACATGGAAAAGGAAATCTGAAATTTAGATTAAGAGATTTAAGAGACATATTAATAAATCACAATATCATAATTCACAGATTTGTTTGGACTCTGATTCAAATTATTTTTAAAGACGACAACAATGGTTAGACAGGAAAGGAAGCATGCATGCCAACTGGCCATTTGATGATATACAAAAACGCGATTTTTCTGGAGGGATGGTGATGGCCTGTATTTTCAAAAGAGGACTTCATCCCTGTCAACTGAAATTGACAGATGGAATGATTAAGTTAGGAATTTGCTATAAAGAAGTCAAGAGGGTGAAGTGGTCAAATAAACAGGCAATGTGCTGGTAATTCTCAAGAAGCGGGAAGGGCCCACAGCAGTTTATTATACTACATCTTAGGTTTGTACGTGCTTGAAAAATTCTGTACTAGAAATATGTTTTAAGTGCAGTCTCTTTAGATACATAATGTACATTTATTTTTAAATAGTCAGAAGAAAACCTGTGTTTCTCTGAATCATAGCTGGCTTTGTTGAAGCTTATTAGATACTTCCATATTCTTTCCTCCTTTGTCCCCTTTAAATGAGAAAATGTCAGATGTTACATATTTTTTTTAAAGATTTTATGTATTTATTCATGAGAGACACAGAGAGAGAGAGAGGCAGCAACACAGGCAGAGGGAGAAGCAGGATCCATGCTGGGACTCGATCCCAGGACCCCGGGGTCACGCCCTGAGCCGAGGGCAGATGCTCCACCGCTGAGTCGCCCAGGTGTCCCTCGAATGTCACATAGTAAGTCTATTTCTGATCATTTCAAGATTTATACGGTCTGAATTTGAAGCAGATTTCAGTACCATTAGTCTTAATCCTTGAAACAGGAACGAAGACGTGAAGGCCTGAGGAAGCTTAATCTAAGACGTGGTGAAGATACTAAGTGAATTAACACTTGGGCTGAAATCCTCTGACTC